GTATCCTGATGACTTACTCAAATATCAATTCATTCTTCATGTTTGCAATGCGAGAGCCGCCAGCCTGCAGTTGTGAGATACACGGAGCCACATGGTGAGGATTGAGTTACATTTTCTCTGCTTTTTATACACCAGGCCCACGACACCGGAGGCCCACGACGCCGGAGGCCCACGACGCCGGAGGCCCACGACGCCGGAGGCCCACGACGCCGGAGGCCCACGACGCCGGAGGCCCACGACGCCGGAGGCCCACGACACCGGAGGCCCACGACACCGGAGGCCCACGACACCGGAGGCCCACGACGCCGGAGGCCCACGACGCCGGAGGCCCACGACGCCGGAGGCCCACGACACCGGAGGCCTACGACGCCGGAGGCCCACGACGCCGGAGGCCCACGACGCCGGAGGCCCACGACGCCGGAGGCCCACGACACCGGAGGCCCACGACGCCGGAGGCCTCACGACGCTAGGGGTTGCGATGCTGGCTAATGTATGAGCTACTTCCTGTTGTGAATGTTCTAGAGCGTTGACAGTGTCTGCATCTCAAATGATACCCTATTCCCTTTATAGTGCACTACTTTAGACCAGGACCTATCAGGAGACCCTTAGGGCTCTGGTCAGAAGTAGTCCACTATATAGTGAATAGGGTGCTATTTTGGACGCAGTCACTGATAAGACTATTTTTTTCCATTCGTGTAAATGACTTCCCTCTGCTCATCCCGTTACAACCAAAGATAACGGCTTGATCAATCAACACGTCTTTGAATTTTCATTGGACAAGAGTAGTTCATTATGCAGAAGTACCATAGACAGTTAGAAGAAGCAGCGGCCCATAAAACGTTTACACATGCAATGCCTTCTCCTAACCTGGCTTCTCATCTCAAGGTGCAATGCCTTCTCCTAACCTGGCTTCTCATCTCAAGGTGCAATGCCTTCTCCTAACCTGGCTTCTCATCTCAAGGTGCAATGCCTTCTCCTAACCTGGCTTCTCATCTCAAGGTGCAATGCCTTCTCCTAACCTGGCTTCTCATCTCAAGGTGCAATGCCTTCTCCTAACCTGGCTTCTCATCTCAAGGTGCAATGCCTTCTCCTAACCTGGCTTCTCATCTCAAGGTGCAATGCCTTCTCCTAACCTGGCTTCTCATCTCAAGGTGCAATGCCTTCTCCTAACCTGGCTTCTCATCTCAAGGTGCAATGCCTTCTCCTAACCTGGCTTCTCATCTCAAGGTGCAATGCCTTCTCCTAACCTGGCTTCTAATCTCAAGGTACACGCCAGGTATTCAAGGTAAGGCCATTCAAGCCAGACAGTTCAGTTTCACCACAACCTTATTAAGGTCCTTTATAAAGTCTCATATTAATCCTCAAATAGGGGCCAGGAGGTTTTTCCTGATCCAGACCACGTGATCTGACCAAGGCTGTATAACTAGGACCCAGAGTTTTTCTAATCATCCCACACAGTCAGGTAACTATAGGGTCCAGGGTTTTTCTTGCTCAGGTCGGTTGGGAGGTCAGGAAAAACTCCTGGTCCTAGTCATCATCATTGATGAACTGCTTTAATAATAAGTGCAGCAATTCGGATTTCCTTTCCGTTGGCACTAATATCACTCCAGGGGGTGTACTCCGTACAGCAGTATAGTGTTCTGTCCAGGGGGTGTACTCCGTACAGCAGTATAGTGTTCTGTCCAGGGGGTGTACTCCGTACAGCAGTATAGTGTTCTGTCCAGGGGGTGTACTCCGTACAGCAGTATAGCGTTCTGTCCAGGGGGTGTACTCCGTACAGCAGTATAGCGTTCTGTCCAGGGGGTGTACTCCGTACAGCAGTATAGTGTTCTGTCCAGGGGGTGTACTCCGTACAGCAGCATAGTGTTCTGTCCAGGGGGTGTACTCCATACAGCAGTATAGCGTTCTGTCCAGGGGGTGTACTCCGTACAGCAGTATAGTGTTCTGTCCAGGGGGTGTACTCCGTACAGCAGTATAGTGTTCTGTCCAGGGGGTGTACTCCGTACAGCAGTATAGTGTTCTGTCCAGGGGGTGTACTCCGTACAGCAGTATAGTGTTCTGTCCAGGGGGTGTACTCCGTACAGCAGTATAGTGTTCTGTCCAGGGGGTGGTACTCCGTACAGCAGTATAGTGTTCTGTCCAGGGGGTTGTACTCCGTACAGCAGCATAGTGTTCTGTCCAGGGGGTGTACTCCGTACAGCAGTATAGGTTCTGTCCAGGGGGTGTACTCCGTACAGCAGTATAGTGTTCTGTCCAGGGGGTGTACTCCGTACAGCAGTATAGTGTTCTGTCCAGGGGGTGTACTCCGTACAGCAGTATAGTGTTCGGTCCAGGGGGTGTACTCCGTACAGCAGTATATCGTTCTGTCCAGGGGTGTAACTCCGTACAGCAGTATATCGTTCTGTCCTAGGGGGTGTACTCCGTACAGCAGTATAGGTTCTGTCCAGGGGGTGTACTCCGTACAGCAGTATAGTGTTCTGTCCAGGGGGTGTACTCCGTACAGCAGTATAGTGTTCTGTCCAGGGGGGTGTACTCCGTACAGCAGTATAGTGTTCTGTCCAGGGGGTGTACTCCGTACAGCAGTATAGTGTTCTGTCCAGGGGTGTACTCCGTACAGCAGTATAGCGTTCTGTCCAGGGGGTTGTACTCCGTACAGCAGTATAGCGTTCTGTCCAGGGGGTGTACTCCGTACAGCAGTATAGTGTTCTGTCCAGGGGGTGTACTCCGTACAGCAGTATAGTGTTCTGTCCAGGGGTGTACTCCGTACAGCAGTATAGTGTTCTGTCCAGGGGGTGTACTCCGTACAGCAGTATAGTGTTCTGTCCAGGGGGTGTACTCCGTACAGCAGTATAGTGTTCTGTCCAGGGGGTGTACTCCGTACAGCAGTATAGTGTTCTGTCCAGGGGGTGTACTCCGTACATCAGTATAGTGTTCTGTCCAGGGGGTGTACTCCGTACAGCAGTATAGTGTTCTGTCCAGGGGGTGTACTCCGTACAGCAGTATAGTGTTCTGTCCAGGGGGTGTACTCCGTACAGCAGTATAGTGTTCTGTCCAGGGGGTGTACTCCGTACAGCAGTATAGTGGTCTGTCCAGGGGGTGTACTCCGTACAGCAGTATAGTGTTCTGTCCAGGGGGTGTACTCCGTACAGCAGTATGTGTTCTGCCAGGGGGTTACTCCGTACAGCAGTTTATAGTGTTCTGTCCAGGGGGTTGTACTCCGTACAGCAGTTATAGTGTTCTGTCCAGGGGGGTGTACTCCGTACAGCAGTATAGTGTTCTGTCCAGGGGGTGTACTCCGTACAGCAGTATAGTGTTCTGTCCAGGGGGTGTACTCCGTACAGCAGTATAGTGTTCTGTCCAGGGGGTGTACTCCGTACAGCAGTATAGGTGTTCTGTCAGGGGGTGTACTCCGTACAGCAGTATAGTGTTCTGTCCAGGGGGGTGTACTCCGTACAGCAGTATAGTGTTCTGTCCAGGGGGTGTACTCCGTACAGCAGTATAGTGTTCTGTCCAGGGGGGTGTACTCCGTACCAGCAGTATAGTGTTCTGTCCAGGGGGTGTACTCCGTACAGCAGTATAGTGTTCTGTCCAGGGGGTTTGTACTCCGTACAGCAGTATAGTGTTCTGTCCAGGGGGTGTGTACTCCGTACAGCAGTATAGTGTTCTGTCCAGGGGGTGTACTCCGTACAGCAGTATAGTGTTCTGTCCAGGGGGTGTACTCGTACAGCAGTATAGTGTTCTGTCCAGGGGGTGTACTCCGTACAGCAGTATAGTGTTCTGTCCAGGGGGTGTACTCCGTACAGCAGTATAGTGTTCTGTCCAGGGGGTGTACTCCGTACAGCAGTATAGTGTTCTGTCCAGGGGGGTGTACTCCGTACAGCAGTATAGTGTTCTGTCCAGGGGGTGTACTCCGTACAGCAGTATAGCGTTCTGTCCTGGGGGTGTACTCCGTACAGCAGTATAGTGTTCTGTCCAGGGGGTGTACTCCGTACAGCAGTATAGCGTTCTGTCCAGGGGGTGTACTCCGTACAGCAGTATAGTGTTCTGTCCAGGAGGTGTACTCCGTACAGCAGTATAGCGTTCTGTCCAGGGGGTGTACTCCGTACAGCAGTATAGTGTTCTGTCCAGGGGGTGTACTCCGTACAGCAGTATAGTGTTCTGTCCAGGGGGTGTACTCCGTACAGCAGTATAGTGTTCTGTCCAGGGGGTGTACTCCGTACAGCAGTATAGTGTTCTGTCCAGGGGGTGTACTCCGTACAGCAGCATAGTGTTCTGTCCAGGGGGTGTACTCCGTACAGCAGTATAGTGTTCTGTCCAGGGGGTGTACTCCGTACAGCAGCATAGTGTTCTGTCCAGGGGGTGTACTCCGTACAGCAGTATAGTGTTCTGTCCAGGGGGTGTACTCCGTACAGCAGTATAGTGTTCTGTCCAGGGGGTGTACTCCGTACAGCAGCATAGTGTTCTGTCCAGGGGGTGTACTTGTACATCAATATAGCATATGCCATTTAGCAGACGCTTTTATCCAAAGCGACTTATTGGCCGTTCTGGTTCACTCTACAGAAACAGGAGATAGACTCCTGCCCTATGGGCCGTTCTGGTTCACTCTACAGAAACAGGAGATAGACTCCTGCCCTATGGGCCGTTCTGGTTCACTCTACAGAAACAGGAGATAGTCTCCTGCCCTATGGGCCGTTCTGGTTCACTCTACAGAAACAGGAGATAGTCTCCTGCCCTATGGGCCGTTCTGGTTCACTCTACAGAAACAGGAGATAGTCTCCTGCCCTATGGGCCGTTCTGGTTCACTCTACAGAAACAGGAGATAGACTCCTGCCCTATGGGCCGTTCTGGTTCACTCTACAGAAACAGGAGATAGACTCCTGCCCTATGGGCCGTTCTGGCTCGGACAAGGCTTATTTTGTATTTTTTCAGCAGCCCCTTTCTAATGGTACTGAAATCACTCCATACAGCAGCCTCAATCAGACGGCAGATCAATTAATCTATCAGACGGCAGTAGGAGGGTGTCCTCCGTTCAGAGACATCCTCCGTAGGGACCGGGTCCTGAAGGATCCCTCAGGGTGAATGCTGTCTGGTTTATCCTCACACCTGAACACCATGAGGAACCCATTCCTGTAGTTCTCATTCATCCAGCCGTACAGGAGCGGGTTGGTGAAGGTGGAGCACATGGCTATGATGTGGAAGAGAGTATAGATGAGCTTGTATTGTCTTAAGCTGAGCACCAGGTCTAGGTCGCTGGCTAGTTGAAACACGTGGAAGGGCAGCCAGCATGTGGCGAAGACTACGACCACCATAACCAGCATCTTGGTGGTCTTCTTCCTGCGCTGGACGGCGTTGATGCGGCTCGATGGACTCACGTGGTTCTTCAGCTTCACCCAGATGCAGATGTAGGCGTAACTGATGATGGATAGTGGCAGCACGTACTGCAGCAGTAACATAGACAGGCTGTAGATGACTCCATCTCTGCTGCTGCCGTGGGGCCACTTCTCATAGCAGACTGAGATGCTCAGGTTGATGGACGGGATCTCCTCCTGACGGTACTCTCTGAAGATGGCGAGCGGGCCGGCCAGCATGGCGGACAGCGTCCAGGTGAGAGCCATGATGAACAGGCTGCTTCGCCAGGTGAGGCGCTGGCCTAGGTGGAACACGATACACCTGTAGCGCTCCAGAGCGATGACGGCCAGCATCAGGATCGATACGTGCACGCACAGCGCCTGGGCGAACGGGACCATGTGACACAGCACCGCGCCGAACTTCCACTCGTCGAGCAATGTATAAACCAGTGTGAACGGTAAACACAACGTATCCACCAACAGGTCGGCCAGGGCTAGGTTAGCTATGAAGAAGTTGGTGACTGTCCTCATGTTCCGGAAGTGGATGATCACGTAGATGACTAGGGCGTTGCCTACCAGGCCCAGTAGGATGATCAGACTATACGCTGTGATCAGAGCAGCCTGGACTCCTACATGCTTGGTGATGTCAGAGTGGAACCCCGGCCGGTCGAGGTGGAGGTGGAGACTGTCGTTACCCAGGATGCCTTGCTGCCAGTGGGTGGAGGTGGTGTCCATGTGGACTGGCAGGCCTGGTGCTAGGTCGGCCGTGCTGTTGGAGGGGTCTGGGGGGCTCATGTTGTCTGCTGAGAGAGAGAGAGAGAGAGAGAGAGAGAGAGAGAGAGAGAGAGAGAGAGAGAGAGAGAGAGAGAGAGAGAGACACCAGAGAGAGAGAGAGAGAGAGAGAGAGAGAGAGATTCACTGCACAAGAACAACTATGTAGATGGTTGCTAATTAGCTTCTATTAATTTCCATTCAGTGGACTGGTCTGGATCCTACAGGACTCAGGCTGTCAGTGGACTGGTCTGGATCCTACAGGACTCAGGCTGTCAGTATAGTGCGCTCACCATCCTCCTGCCAGGTAGCTAGCTCCATAGCTGATGATGTCAAATTAAATGCACACTAATTTGGGTGAAAGTTTGAGGGTGTTCTTGGATGGTGAACTTGAGGAAAAACTGAATCATTACTGGCTCAAAAACAATCAGATAAGAATACATCCCAAATGGCATCCTATTCCCTACACAGGGCCCAAATGGCATCCTATTCCCTACACAGGGCCCAAATGGCATCCTATTCCCTACACAGGGCCCAAATGGCATCCTATTCCCTACACAGGGCCCAAATGGCATCCTATTCCCTACACAGGGCCCAAATGGCATCCTATTCCCTACACAGGGCCCAAATGGCATCCTATTCCCTACACAGGGCCCAAATGGCATCCTATTCCCTACACAGGGCCCAAATGGCATCCTATTCCCTACACAGGGCCCAAATGGCATCCTATTCCCTACACAGGGCCCAAATGGCATCCTATTCCCTACACTGCCCAAATGGCATCCTATTCCCTACACAGGGCCCAAATGGCATCCTATTCCCTACACAGGGCCCAAATGGCATCCTATTCCCTACACAGGGCCCAAATGGCATCCTATTCCCTACACAGGGCCCAAATGGCATCCTATTCCCTACACAGGGCCCAAATGGCATCCTATTCCCTACACAGGGCCCAAATGGCATCCTATTCCCTACACAGTGCACTACTTTAGATATGATCTATTATCTGATATGATCTATTATCTGATATGATATGATCTATTATCTGATTTATCTGATATGATCTATTATCTGATATGATATATGATCTGATTTATCTGATATGATCTGATATGATCTATTATCTGATATGATCTATTATCTGATTTATCTGATATGATCTATTATCTGATATGATCTATTATCTGATATGATCTATTATCTGATTTATCTGATATGATCTATTATCTGATATGATCTATTATCTGATATGATATATGATCTGATTTATCTGATATGATCTATTATTTGATATGATCTATTATTTGATTTATCTATTATCTGATATGATATGATATTATCTATTATCTGACATGATCTGATTTATCTGATATGATCTGATATGATCTATTATCTGATATGATCTATTATCTGATATGATATATGATCTGATTTATCTGATATGATCTATTATTTGATATGATCTATTATCTGATCTATCTATTATCTGATATGATCTGATATGATATATTATCTGATATGATCTATTATCTGATATGATCTGATTTATCTGATATAATCTGATATGATATATTATCTGATATGATCTGATATGATCTATTATCTGATATGATCTATTATCTGATATTATCTATTGTCTGTAGTGGTAAGCTAACTTATCTACCCTCCCAGCACCTCATCCCTCCCAGCACCTCATCCCTCCCAGCCTCAACCTCCAACCCTCCCAGCCTCAACCTCCATCCCTCCCAGCACCTCAACCCTCCCAGCCTCAGCCTCCAGCCCTCCCAGCACCTCAACCCTCCCAGCCTCAGCCTCCAGCCCTCCCAGCACCTCAACCCTCCCAGCCTCAGCCTCCAGCCCTCCCAGCACCTCAACCCTCCCAGCCTCAGCCTCCAGCCCTCCCAGCACCTCATCCCTCCCAGCACCTCAACCCTCCCAGCCTCAGCCTCCAGCCCTCCCAGCACCTCAACCCTCCCAGCCTCAGCCTCCAACCCTCCCAGCACCTCAACCCTCCCAGCCTCAGCCTCCAACCCTCCCAGCACCTCAACCCTCCCAGCACCTCAACCCTTCCAGCACCTCAACCCTCCCAGCCTCAGCCTCCAGCCCTCCCAGCACCTCAACCCTCCCAGCACCTCAACCCTCCCAGCCTCAGCCTCCAGCCCTCCCAGCACCTCAACCCTCCCAGCACCTCAACCCTTCCAGCACCTCAACCCTCCCAGCCTCAGCCTCCAGCCCTCCCAGCACCTCAACCCTCCCAGCACCTCATCCCTCCCAGCCTCAGCCTCCAACCCTCCCAGCACCTCAACCCTCCCAGCACCTCAACCCTTCCAGCACCTCAACCCTCCCAGCCTCAGCCTCCAGCCCTCCCAGCACCTCAACCCTCCCAGCACCTCAACCCTCCCAGCCTCAGCCTCCAACCCTCCCAGCACCTCAACCCTTCCAGCACCTCAACCCTCCCAGCCTCAGCCTCCAGCCCTCCCAGCACCTCAACCCTCCCAGCACCTCAACCCTCCCAGCCTCAGCCTCCAACCCTCCCAGCACCTCAATCCTCCCAGCCTCATCCTGCAACCCTCCCAGCAATTCAGCTCCAGGGGAGACAAAAACAGATAAAAATGGAAGATCAGAAAGAATTCAGACTGAACTATGGAAGCAGAAGCATACTGCATGTGTCTGGGTCACAGAAATAAGGCTGATGAATACATCTATCTGGGTTAATCTGAATACATCTATCTGGGTTAATCTGAATACATCTATCTGGGTTAATCTGAATACATCTATCTGGGTTAATCTGAATACATCTATCTGGGTTTGTGTTTATCATCAGGCTATACTGAGATTGGGACCATAACAACTGCCTACCTACACTTAGCGTTATAAAACAACCTTCCTTCGCTCTCAGATCTATTCACTCTGTGTCAATGTGTCGCTGTCAGCAGACAGACAGACAGACGGACAGACAGGGGGACAGAAAGACCGGTGCAGGTTTTCTGAAGTATTAGGTGCTTAGTGATTGTCTCCAGGGCTTTGTAAAGAGCAGGCATTTGACTCCAATAAACTGTAACGCGCCATGAACCCACACAAAAAAAATAACTAGTGCATTGTATGCTGTAGATTATGATGAGTAGTGTTCATGGATTTATTATTGATATGGAAATCTCACCATTTATATACCACACAGAAGTAAACTCACCATCGTAGATCTCGATTCATAATCAAATTATTTTATTTTTTGCGGGTAGAGCAGCTTTAATATTGCAAATAGATTGTAACTTCCATCAATGTAATTGTCTGCATCACTATACCGTCACACTTTGATCATCACATTAAAATATTACCCATGATATATACCGTCACATTAAAATATGACCTATGATATATACCGTCACACTTTGACCATCACATTAAAATATTACCCATGATATATACCGTCACACTTTGATCATCAGATTATGAACCGGACAATCAAGAGTCATTTTTAATCATGTCAATGCATGCTCCAAATCAGTTCCACATTATTGTATAGGTAAACTGCATCCATCTTCAGTAACCTATCCACCCATTCAAATACTCACCTTTCCCCCCTTAGTGGCAGGCTATAGCTCCTTGTTAAACGGATCTTCAAATGAGATGTTGCCTGGAACAAGTGAAAATCCTGAAGCTCCTCCTAAGCAGAGAGCAGAGCGGAGTGAAGTGAAGCGCACAAATGGTGTGTGTGTGTCTCTCTCTCTCTCTCTCCTCTCTCTCTCTCTCTCTCTCTCTCTCTCTTCTCTCTCTCTCTCTGTGCTATATTCTCTCTCTCTTCTGTCTCTTCTCCTGTCCTCTCTCTGCTCTCTATCTCTCTCTTGTCCTCTCTCTCTGTCTCTCTGCTTCTACCCTCTCTCTCTCTCTGTCTCTCTCTGTCTCTGTTTGTCTCTCCTCTCTCTCTCTCTCTCTGCTCTCTCTCTCGTCTGTCTCTCTTCTGTCTTCCTCTCTCTCCTCTCTGTCTTCTGTCTGTCTGTCTCTCTCTCTCTCTCTTCTCTCTCCTCTCTGTCTGTCTCTCTGTCCCTTCTCTCTGTCTCTCTCTCTCTCTCTCTCTCTCTGTCCCTTCTGTCTGTCTTCGTCTGTCTGTCTGTCTGTCTGTCTGTCTGTGTCTCTGTCTGTCTGTCTGTCTGTCTGTCTGTCTGTCTGTCTGTCTCTCTCTCTCTCTCTCTCTCTCTCCTCTCTCTCTCTCTCTCTCTCTCTCTCTTCTCGTCTCTTCTCTCTCTGTCTTCTGTCTCTTTCTCTGTCTCTGTCTCTCTGTTCTCTCTCTCACTGTCTCTCTCTCTCTCTGAGAGAGAGACAGAGGAACGGGCACTGGCTTGGTGCGAGGAGCAGGAACAGGCCGGGCCGGGTTGGCGACCCGCACCACTGGCTTGGTGCGAGGAGCAGGAACAGGCCGGGCCGGGTTGGCGACGCGCACCACTGGCTTGGTGCGAGGAGCAGGAACAGGCCGGGCCGGGTTGGCGACGCGCACCACTGGCTTGGTGCGAGGAGCAGGAACAGGCCGGGTTGGCGACGCGCACCACTGCCTTGGTGCGAGGAGCAGGAACGGGTCGAGCCGTACTGGGAACACGCACCACTGGCTTAGTGCGGGGATCAGGAACGGGCAGGACCGGACTGGCGACACGCACCACTTGCTTAGTGCGAGGAGCGGGACTGGGTTCCTTTATTAAACCCCGCTCCTTCTGCTGCCTAACCAGCTCCTCTCGCCGTGCCTCTACACTTTCCTTCTCCCTTATAGCCTCCTGTAGCGCCTCCCTCTGACCGAATAACTCCTGCTCCCTCTGAACCAATAGCCCCCGTAACATGGTGGCCTCCTCTCCTAACCTGCAGATTCGCCCTTCCACGGCCTCCTGCTGCCTCGTCGTCCACACCGTGTGCCCCCCCCAATTTTTTTTATTGGGGTTGCCTCTCGGGTCTCCGTCGTCGGCACTCCTCTTCCCGTGAGGACTCCTCCGGGAGCCCCCATGAGTTAGGGAACAGAAACTCGTCGTCGTCGTCATCCTTCCGACTGCGTTGGGAATTTTTGAACTACTTCATATAAGGTCTGTGTTTTGTGTAAGCTTACCCTGGCTTGACGTTTTGATAACCGTGCAAATCTCTCTCAGATAAGGTAACTTTTATCAATAAATTTGCCTGTAATTACCCCCCAAAAATGAAATGCTAATTAGCTGCTAATGTGTAAATCAAACAGAACTACACATCCTGTCGCAAGCTTTGACGTCATCCCTCAAGGCACATTTCTCCATGCAAACTCTCATCAACAAGTAGCAAGTAACCTAGCAAGTAGATATTATAGCCTA